GAGTTGGGTTCTCCAATTGTTCCTCTGACGATCAAGTTAGTAATTTGCTTGTGTAGAGAAGCAACTAAACTGTAGAAGTTTTTAAGCACGATGAGTAGAGATAAAGATCTTACCTTTTTGTTAAAATAGCATCCCTATTTATAGTGGTTGTAGAGGGGTAGGATGGTAACTTAGACTGAGTATGGGTTGGCGGTCAAGTCAGCATTTGCTTTACAGGTGTAGGCCGACAAGTGGAGGGGATGTCACTTTCGTATTTAATGTGAAGTGGCTAGAGGCATGCGGTGCCGACGTAATCCGATGTGTCATAAAGACTATTGAGGACAGAGATATGATGGTGCCAACTATGCATTTAATGACATTTATTGTAAGGTGATGACTGTGAGTGCGCGGGAGGGGGCTCGAGGCTCAAGGTAGTCGTCACCTTTCTACTCGTCCTGTAGAAGGTCGTGAAGTACCGCTATTTGAGTCACCTTTGGGGGATGTCGGTCGAGTAGGTTGATCAAGAAGTCGACCTAGCCAGGGGTTGACATGTAACGCCTTTTAAGTAACCCTCGCGAGATGTCGGCGCATGGAGTCGTTCGAGTTAGGTCTTTGCCTATCCTGAACTGAAGAGCTAGCTCGATTACGCATAATGTGGGACACTTGTCTGCTAATGATTGGAGATTATGTTTTAGCACTAAAACAACTATAACAAACAGGGCCGGCCCTGGGGTAAGCCCACCAAGCCCCGGGGCTGGGGCAACCCAGGGCCGGGGGGTTCTGACCGCAGCTACATATTTCCCTCATCCAATAGCCGCCAAAATCAACAGCTGTAATCGGACCATCATCTCGCCTCCTCCCGCTTTCTTCTTCTATCTCTGACGATTTTGGCGGCTAGGGTTTTGATGGGGGCGTTGATGAGGGTTTTGGGGGCCTAGGGTTTTCGAGATGAGCACGGTCAACATCACGAACGTGACAGTACTCGACAACCTTGCGGCGTTTCTCAATCGGTTCCAGTTCGAGATCTCCTACGAGTGCCTCGTCCCTCTCGAAGACGGTACGGATTCGATCAAGATCTCATCTTTTCCCTTGTTTTAATGCTGTGTTTGGATTTCAACAGGGTAAGGGAAGTTATTAAGGGAAAATAGGTGAGAGAGAAAAGAAGGGAAGGAATTCCCTTCCCTTTACACCCCCAATTTGGGATGAACTAAGGGAAACTAAACTAAGGGTTCTGAGTTCTGATTGCATTTGTTATATCTTCTCGTTGCTTGATTTCCTTAAGTCAGAATTTCTAAGCAGAAGTCCTGCTTCCACTGTGGCTAATTGAACCTAGATCCATTAATACCTATTTTGTTGCAATAAGCGAGCTAATGATGAAATTAGCTTCTTATTCGATTTGAACCTAGAACCTTTTGGACATCACATCTAGTTTTTACGACTGAGTCAACTTCAGTTTGTTTGATGTAGTTATCTTGGTTGCAATGTCAATATTGATCTACCTGCTTGACTCACATCTACTGACCTTCATTGTCGGAGTTAGTTTTGTTTTGTTGTATCTTTATTTGCATTGTCATCTTTGTGTGGGTTTCTTGTTGCCCATAGCATAATATTTACCTTTCATTTGGCTAATCATACAGCGTTGACTTTATTATCAGCGGATAGTTTTGCAAGTAGTAAACCTTTCATTATTTTGTTTGGGAGGCTTTCTTCTTTGTCATGCTTGTGACCTGTTACTAGCTTGGTTGCTACCAACCTGGCTGTAAGCAAATAGTATTCAATACCTATCACTATACCTTGACTTCCACTGGTTGCTCCCTTTGGGTATTTGAAATACACAAATGTGTGGTGAACCAGGTGCTCATAATATGTTCTGACCCAAAGAACCGGTCTTAAATTTTAAAAAGCACTTTCGTGTAATTGATTGGTGTTCTTGTTTCTCGATCTTCTTTCAGTAATCTATTTTATTAAAAAAATATCTGTTATTTTATTTATAAACATTAATGACTGGATGCTTAGAACTAGTTCAATCAAGAAGTTGAACCAGTTTAGATAATAGATTCGTGTTGATTAATATCGTGTAGCTTAGAACTAGTTCAATCAAGAAGTTGAACCAGTTTAGATAATAGATTCGTGTTGATTAATATCGTGTGTTCATCAGATTTTTTATCGTTATTGTTCGTACCAAATTTTTAATAGAAAGGGCAACCAAAATTGGATTAGGCTAGGGCAACCCAAACCTCGGGGCCGGCCCTGATAACAAATATGATATGGTTGCATATACACTTGTCTGCAACTATTTTCATTCTTTGAATGATGGATCTGAGGTTATAATTTTAGCAATAAAAGATATAACGCGTTTTGTTCTCTCCATGTACATCTGCTTGTACATATGTATGTATCTATATCTGTATCCGATTGTAGTGAATATGGACATAAGTTTTCTCGACCGAGGCGTATTCTCATTCATATTTGTATCCATTAGTGGTAATCGGGTATGAATATAATAAGTATCGCTTCCGAGACTTGTTCGGACCTTTTGAACCCCAAGTTGCAATACAGACCATTCTAATTTTTTTTTTAATTAAAAAGGAATCGTACCATACCATCCATGGCAACCATACCATCCAATAAACAGTTACGGTACATCTTAATAAACATAAATTTGTTGAAGATACGATTCGATTAGAAATGATTAGTATCTCCTCCCTTTTATCTTTTCTTTCTAACGAAAAAATTCGAAGCAGAACCAAAAACAAGTTCATCCCCACCCTCCTCCCATTTCAAATTCCAAATAATCTTTCTACCCTCCTCCTCTCCGTACCTACGTAGACCCCCCCACCTACCCTTTCCCTTCCTTTCCTTGCTCTCCCCACTCAGCCTGCCCCAAAAGCAGATCATCCCCAAAAAACCCTGAAAATGTCGATCATCAGCACCGTCCCCATGGGCGACTCCGAGACCCTCTACAACGTCACCCTCACCTCGAACACCTCCTCCGTTCACCGACTGTCACCTCCTCCTCTGCCGATGTCGTCGATTAGATCTCAAGCGTCCTCTCCTTCCACGCCCATCGCCTCGACAGCCTCATCGTCGGCCTCAACGTCGAGTGGCGCCCCAGCTACTCCCGCTACAAGAACCCCGTCGCCACCCTCCAGCTCTGCGTCGGCACCCGCTGCCTCCTCTTCCAGCTCATCCACTCCGACTCCATCCCCTCCCAGCTCTCCTCCTTCCTCTCCGACCACCGATTCAAGTTCGTCGGCGTCGGCGTTGACGAGGACGTGGAGAAGTTGGTCGGGGATTGCGGGATGTCGGTGGCGAACCCTGTTGATCTGAGGGCCGTTGCGGCGGAGGTTTACGGGAGGAGGGAGATGCACATGCAGCAGATGGGGATCGTGAAGCTGGCGGATGAGGTGTTGGGGATGGAGGTTAGGAAGCCGAAGAAGATCACGATGAGTCGGTGGGATCAGGAGTATCTCACGCTCGATCAGATTGGGTACGCTTGCGTTGATGCTTTCCTTTCGTTTGAGATTGGGAGGAGGCTCATTGCCGGATGAGCCTCCGCTGGTGAGCTGGTAATTTGTTGTTTATTGACGTTAATCGAAAAGTAGTATTATGGTTTCTTTTCTTGATGGTTGCTCATCGCCATGTTGGTTATAGCTGCGAGATGATTCCCTATTGTCGTGAGGGTTATTTCATTTTTTATTACATGTCCTATATTTGTGGGTTTTGAAAAAATTGACTCCGCTGCGTGCGGCCCGGTTTCGGACCATAAAAAGGGCACGCTCAACCTGGGGTATGTTAGAGTATAAAAATACTAACCCTTAACCCTCACCACGACTTTACTTTGGAGTTTTTGTGTAGTGACACGGCCCTTTGACGTGGTATTAAAGCAACATAGGTTTAGGTCCCACCGACCACGAATTTAAAGGCGATTTCAAAGAAATTAACACAGCAGCGTGAATTCGGGTTTTAGCCCATAAAAAGGACGCTCAATTTGTGGTGTATGCTAGAATATAAGGTACTGTTTGGCAAAGGGTTAAGTGAGGGGTTAAGGAGACTTAACCCCTTCTTAACCTGCCAAACACAACAAATCTATATAAGGGTTAAAGTGAGTTAACCCTTCATAATTTGCCAAACATAAAAAATATAGAAGGGTTAAGTTAACCCCTCTAGAAGGGTTAAAATGAGTTAACCCCTCAAAATGAGGGGTTTACTAATACTCCTATTTAGATGGAATAAGAGTTAACCCTTCTAATTATAAAGAAAATAGTCAAAATCATTGTTATTCTCAAACACTAAAACTGATCATAAGGGCTAAAATAAAACTTATTTAGCGGGTTAATAATTTAGTCATTCGGATTATCAAATGGGCTAAGTACATTAATCCTTTTCTTTAACCCATCTTCATTAACCCTTTGCCAAACGGGGCCTAAAGTAATAACCCTCAACTCTCACTATAACTTTGGAGTTTTGGTGCTCAGCCTTTGACTCTGCCACTACACTAAAACTCCGAAGTTGATTTTTTCTTGATCCAATTAGGTATCTTGTGCAACCATAGATAGTGTTTGAGTTTTATAGAGTTGGCCATAAATAGTGTTACTACTTTTTAAAAAATCTTTGGTACTTTGGAATGTGTAACATTGACTAGTTACACAGTTTTGACAGTCTAGAATTGGTAGATAATTCATTTATGCTTGATTCATTAAACTAGCATGTAAGCTTCAGTTATTTATGATGCTCATAAGGGATAAGGCTGTCCTTTATTGACAATTGAAAGCACAAACCAAACTTCATGGACATAGCTCCATTTAAAAAAAATAAGGGAAAAAAAAGAGAATCATATAACAGTGGAATTTTCTCAACGCCTAAAGATACATAAGAACTATACGTCATTAGAGATTTCAAAGATAGGTGAATTCTTACCTAATTGTGAAAAATAACCATTAGGATGCGAAACTATAGACGAGTCAAAGACCCTGAAACTAAAGCACACGTCAACTTCTGTACCATTACAACCAATCAAGAATACACAAACACATCACAAATCATCATGTATCCTTAGTTTCCCTAATCCCTACACACTTAGCATCAATGCAAGCATCCTGAATTTATGCTCCAGAAAGGTTCTTAGCCCCCTACACACTTAGCATCAATGCAAGCATCCTGAATTTATGCTCCAGAATGGTTCTTAGCCCCCAACTCGCTCTAGTAACATGCATTGGCTTATCCATGACAAGTACCAGGATCTCTCTAGCGTAGCCCTTCAAGAGCCCGATTCGCGCTGAACTTTCCATGCCAACCTTAACCAGACCTGTAAGTTCGGGTATGTGTAAAACATAACTAGGTACGGGTTGGAAATCAGTTTAATCCGTCTCAGTAAATAGTGGAGTCACCTATATGTTTGTTATAAACTTTTAATTGATACTGCTTCACCCAAATAATCCATTTAGTTATCAAGTTTGTTATTTTGTTTTGCTTATATTTTCTTTATATTGTTGTTAATTGAAAAATTGTTGGTAACTGAAGTTTTGAGAATTTGTTACTCACTACAGTCCACAGGTGTTAGACGTAATATATTCTTTTAAAAGTTATTTTTAAAATCATAAATGTTAGGACTTTGGAAACTTTTACCAGACCATAGCTAAACGAAACCCTCTTTATGCGTCTGAGTCCTATATCCAAACTCGTCTGAAATATTAATGAAGTATATGATTCCCTTTTCTTTGTGATCTACCACTTGTTTTATTCGTAGCCTTACACTTTAAGGATCTTCAGACCGCAGCTTTATGTAATTTATATTTCTTTACTGGCTGTGGCATCTTCTATCCTTTTCAGATCAACTTTTGTTTGCATTCATGCCTGTTGGTGTCATATGCATGAGTTAACGCTACAATCTGTATTATCGCTAGAGCTTCTTTTTCCATGAGACCTGACATGTTTATCAACTTAATTCAATTGAACTTTTTTTTATTGGTACATAAGTTTGTGCTACAAATTACAGGAAATTTGCGAAGTATATTTTATATAATATTCGATTCCTATATATTTTTCAGAAATCATCCTTGCAGCATTGTTCCTTCGGTCATGAACCACATTTGTAGAGTTTGTTACTTGTCTCACCTGCAGATTGTCCTTTAATGTGAGCTATATCAGAATATGGTGTTCTGTGCTATGTTGTACCACATTGACATTTTCTGTGTCCATACAAGTGCCCATGCTTCTTAGATATCCGTGATTTAATTTTGGTTTTATATATCGTTGAGTATAACTGGACTTTGTGACCAGTTTAAAAATCTTTTGATTTTGAGGAATGTTTAACATGAACTAGTGACATAGTTTGAGAGTCTGGACTTGATAGATAATTTTTTGTGCTTGACTCAGTAAACTAGCTGTAAAGCTTCCTTAATCAATTAAGTGTTTTATTATGCTACTCATAATGGTCTTTATTCACAAATGGAAGTAGACCAAACTTCATGGATAATGCTCCATGCAAACATAAAAAAAAAATCCTATCACAGTAGAATTTTGTCATGCCTACAAATACATAAGAAAATCAATAGAATGCAAAATAAGAAATTGAGTCGAAGACCCTGTAGTTAAAGCACACAGCAACTTTCGGACCATTGCAACCAATCATGAATGCACACGAACACATAGGTAATCGCCATACATCCTTAGTTCCCTCCAACACTTTGCTGCTTTGCTGCCGAACTATAAGACAAAAGCATCAAGGCTGGCATACTGAAAGTGGGCTTTAGGAAAGTTAGCAATACATGACCTAGATGGAACGTGAATTAGAGAACGCATACAGTAATTTATTACATCATGTACATCTACATAAAATTTGTTTAATTAGGATATATCTCAACAACCTCTCACTGAGCCTATGAATGTATGATCAGCGATCATTTCTTGTGTACAGATTACTGAGTCAAGTTCGAGCCCTATATCCAAATGCATGTGAAATATTTATGAAGTACATGATGCCCTTTTCTTTGTGGTCTGCCAATTGTTTTGTCATCATCTTATGCTTTAAGGCTCTTTCAGGCTTCAGCTCATGTACTTTATAGTTTGACACTGGCTGCGGCACCTTCTGTTCTTTCCAGATAAACTTTTCTTTACACATACATGTTTGTTTCTTACGTATGAGTTAACTCTGCCCCTGTATTAAGAGCATAGTTCACTAAAGCTCTGACATGCTAATCAACTTAGATGGTTTAACTTATATTTTCATGATGTTTTAAGCAAATATCTCTTCTAACTGCATAATTGTATATATTTGGATTGCAGAATGGAATCCTTGGGGTGTTCTTGAAGATTGTGAATGTTAAAGTACTCCACCGATCCCTGCCTCTCCTTGAGGAGTTCCACAGAACACTAGACATAATTTCTTCAAAACCTGCTTACATGCAGGAAACATTCACCGAGTAAAGCCTAAGACTTAACATAGTTTTATATCAATGAATATTATAGTTTGGGGGCACGTGTTAGTGCATTGTGTTGTGTTTACCATGTTGCTTCTGGATTAGTGTTTGCCGTGTAATTACGTAGCCTTTTATTTAGAGAAAGAACAATGTTTGGCAGGCACACACCTTCTGATGATTTTCGTTAATTTTTAGCTGTCTTTTTCTCATCAAGAATTATCTCATATACTTGACAGGCTATTGGTTAATTTGATATCCATCAATGTGTATTCAAGTTATCACTGAAATTACCAAAACACTAAACTTATCCTTCAACCTCAGCATCTTGTATTAATTGACGGAAATCTCACTTAACTATATAGACTCATCACTTATCTACATCCCTATACGTATTATTATAGTGTAGGCTTCATTTACTGAAGGATCTGCATGATTGATTGCCTTACCTTTACATTGTAGTACCAATGATGGTTGCATTCTATAATAATAAAGGAAAACCATCACAGCTCAATTGCAACAGCGTCAATCATATGAAAATACTTCAACCATCATAGTAATGTATCACATATTGATAAACACTGTATCATAGCACAGATAGGCATACTAGTACCCCAAAAGCATCAATTTGCTATATTCTCATCAACATTGAGAGTTTGTCAAAAACATCTTTTCGCATTCTTACATAGTCTTCACAACTATTAGCATATACCTTTTAAATACGCTATCCATTAAATTATTCCAGTTCATTGCATTCAATCTCTTTATGAATCTAGTTGCACGAGTGATACGTCTTCGTCTAGATTGCAATCTCTTTCAATAACCAACCATCAACACTAATGCAGTCATAGCACCAAATTAAATACAATCCTCGTCATTGTTTCCTCCTCCACATCAACCATCTATAACGTCGAACATGCATATAAATTGTTATCTATTTAAGCACATATGCTAAACATAAACATGCACTACCTCCAGCTTGTGTAAAATGGCCTCGTTAGTCTAATTAAAAATTTATAGACAAAATGTATGTAATTATCCACTACATGTATACTTAAGCATATATATTTACTAATAAACATGGACGGCATTTAATGTCACTAAAATATACTTGTTATTCTAGTTAAAAATTAATAACCAAAATGCATGTCATTATACATTAACGATTATTGCGTGCATCATCTAAAAACAAGCTTTTGGAGCATCTCATATAATAATAAAAAATAAGAAAAAGAAACTATCAAAATAGACCAAGTTATCGTACAAATTTTTCTTTTTTGCTTGATTAACTGGCATGCATAGATCAATCTTTAATATACACATACAAATTACATACAATTTTTTTTGTAAAATACATTCCAGAGGGCAATATTTATTTAAATTCAATTAAAATAAATGAAATTTATATAGATCTCTCATGAAATTAACAGTTATTAATTAAAAAAAGTACTACCATTAACAGTTAATTGTTTGAATAAAGAAAAATGCCCTAACTTCTATAGAATGAGGTCCACATCAATGGTAAACTAGTACTCCCGGCGCACCACAGAAAAAAGCCATAGCGCACCACAGAAAAAGGTCCTAACTTCCATAGAATGAGGTTCACATCAATAGCAAACTAGTACTCCCAGTGCACACGATGCATGCATATACAATATACATTATGTGAAAAAATTGTTAGTGGCAGCTTAATAATTTATGATAAGTAATAATTCATTTAACATATTAGAGGAAAATTTTTCTAGAAAGAATTTGAATTAGGCACTTTATATTGAGAGAGAATTTTTAAAATATAAGAATAAGGAATAAAATTTTATTATCTTGCTTATTACCAATATGTCGAGACAGGTGCGACGTAAAATTGGACGGACATAGGAAGAAATATCCTAACATGATTTATAGGATTTGGGTATTAATGTTTTTTAGGGAAATTAATGAGTGTAGCTTGAGTGATAGTAGAAGATGACATAATTTTGATCACTGTTTTTGGCATAAGATAGTTACATAGGAAGGGGCAGAGAATGTTATAAAAAGAGAAAGAAACGGGGCTGAGGAAATCATGGGATTGCTTGTTTGTTTGTTTGTTTGTTTTTAAAGTAAGTTCAATTAGTTGAGATATTTCAGATTTGATGAGTTTGTAAGGAGTAGAATAGGAAGCCAGAACGTGGAGGAGATAGTTTTTTACCCGATTACCCTGATTTTTACCCGATTACCCTTCTTGAATATTTGAAAGTAATGTAACTTCGTGTGGTTATTTTTGGAGGCATTTTTGGGTTAATTGAAAATGAAGATCACATGCCTAAACTTAAGGCTTTTCTTAAATAGTAGAAACAGAAAAGATAATAGATAATAGATATTTTTAAAATATTTTGTGGGAAGTTAATGAGAGGATTTTTGAGATTGTGGGTGTGAATGTTATTTTAGTGGTTTACCATTTTGTCCATTACAAATCATATCATACTCCCTTTAAAAGCACGAGTTCGGAAAAATCTTCTGTAGACAAAAATACCCTTATAAAGTTTGGAACTTCTTATGCTATAATCAAATTTATAATTTTAAATTTAATGTGATTGAGTTTGATTCTATGTGTTTGTTTATGGTGTGTTATATTTCTTATTTGATTAATAATATCTTCTTGTGCATAATCTCCGAATCAAATTTCCTAATTACCTGGTAACCCAACAACATAATTGGGGATTTATTCTATGGGTTTGTTATGGTGGTTATATTAATTTATACGCAATTCAGAGATTTTGTGTTTATAGTTAAGGAAAGAAGCTGAATTAGGGGGAAATATCCGTTTGTTTGTTAAAAGCGTGTTCTAAAACAAATTTTTGGAGAATTTGTTTGTTTGTTATGTTTTGAAAACACAACTTAGAAATCTGTATGTTTTGTAGATAAAATTAGATAAAGTTTAAAATAAGAATTTGCGGGCCCTCACTCATATAGCAACCGTATTAAATTTGAAGAAGGGCGCTACATGTATCATAATTTCGAGAATAAATTATAGCTTGAAACAATATTATATCCTAATTAACCGAGTTATTTTGAAGTGATCAGAAGCACTAATTATCTGAACTAATATTATCCCAAACACT